CGTGAATCTTTGATGTTAATTCCTTGTCAGTGCTAATGAATTTAAACTCGACGGGGTTTTATCATTTGAAAGATGCACGCCGAGATATAGGCGACGAAGTTTATTTCGTTGTCGACGGCGCTCGAGCACAAAAGCTATTCTCCAACGTGTTTTCGAAGTTCAGCAGTCGAGTTGTCTTCTGACAATCAGAGTAAACGGAAGAGGAAGCGACGGGCAAGGACCTTGGCTGTTCGCGCGAACAACTAGTTGCAAATGATAAAATAACAGAGTTCACTTAATCTCTTACTCGCGCGTTCCGTTAATTGACGAGAGCCAGCATTGTTTCTTGATAGGCAAACTTTGGTTATTTTCCTTTCTTGTCTGCGCTCATCGAGAAAGACAAACCATACATTTCCGTAAATTGTTTTGCAAAATTGTGTCAATTTCGAAGCTTTATTATTTTTTATATTTAATTCTAGTTCACAGCGAGAGCTTTTAATTATTTATATTTAATGATTTCTGATTTCGCCAGTTCTGTAATTATTTTCGAAAAAAAAAAACAGAGCTCTGTCAATTACATAAAAATTCCAAGAATAGTGCACTAACTCTAAACGGAGGTTATGCGACTTCGATATTCCGTAGCTGCCCGTGAAGCCATTGGTGAAAACGGCAAAGAATTTAATTAGATGTGACCCACTTGCAGAAACAATGCAATCAATCGCTGGTGCTTGAAGACTACATCGGGTTAATTAAAGCTATTCGAACGTAGAATTCAGAATAAAGGATTCCGGGAATCTCGGGAATTTGCTCGCGTTCTTCGGTTCATTCTTCCGCGTGGAATTTGTTTTATCGCGCGCGGCTAAACTACTCCCATAAATTACTTTCTCCATGCGATCAGATAATGTCCTCAAATTCACGCGCGCAACTTCCGCCGTAGATCAATCTCCTTGCTTCCCCAACCTTGCCGGTCGGATGGGTGACCGAGCGACTCGCATTACTTCGAGAAACTGCGTTACATTACGTCAGGTTTCGAAAACAGATCGTTTCGAAAACTTGCCGAACAGATTTGCGGTTGATAATTTAATGATCTAAATTTGTGATCAGAATATTTAAAAAATTGAACGGTGCATTGTTAGTAAAATTGTAGACGGTAATCTTATATTAGCGTAGTATAAGATTTATTCCATTTGCATCTACAATTTATAATTTATTTTTTTAATCTTTTTTTTTATTCTATTGCTGTTACATCATCACAGCGTTACACGTGCGCGCGTATATATGATCATACATAAAAAATTAAGTTTTAGATAGAGCGAATAAAGCTTTAAAAATTAAACGGGAATGGATGAAGCTAAATTATGCATCATGTAAATGCGTCAAAATGGAACGCGACAGTGTTGGAAAATAGTCGCGGTTGCGGAATAGTATATATATATTCGCCAAAAGCAATAATCAACAATTCATGGCCATTTGATGGTGCCTGTCAGAATTTTAAGCCGCAAGACAGACGATGAGCAATCGATGTTAGATTATTTACGTTGCCATCCACATGGCGGAACATAAAATGCTGCAAAAGTGCAGAGACATGTACGAAACACAAAATTTCCATCGTGTCGCGTGTAAATGCGCTACGGCCGGAAAGAGACGAGTATATCACGGTAGATGGCTACCACAGAAATTGCCCACCTGCCCGGTTTCCACGATCTCTTCATCCCCCCGGTTCCTATTTCGGCGCGCAGATGTATGATAAATCGAAGTGCATCGAAGCACTTTTTCATACGGAAAAATAGATGCAGCCACGCAGATGTGTATCGGAAACTTTATCTTATTTCCGCAAGATGTGAATTTTTTTGCTAGCAATAATTATTATTAAAAAATTGGATTATGATAATAATATATTATATTTATATCGTCCTATAGAAATGAGTAGATTTTAAATGGCAGAAATTTTAATAACAACGTTTCATGCTTTTTCCCCCGCTGCAAATAACATTCGTAATTTAATTCCTGAAAGGTAAATAGTGAAATATGGCTACTCGAGTCAGTCACAGAAATATATGAATGAATAAATACGGCAGATACTTTCTCAATCTTTCGAAAGTAACTGGCAAGCCTGTTGCTTTGAAGTGAATTACAGAAACGAACGACCGATCCCTTTAGTCTATTTTAAAATGCTCCATCAAATTTTATGGGATAAAATTTCAGCGTCTAAAATTGAATTAAATGTATATTTTAACATTTTGAATCACTTCTTTGTAAAAAAAATGTAATATAATTTAAAGTTCTAGGCTGACCAAATGATATGATATAAAATTCTAAGACATTTTAAGACATAAAAATGAATAAAAAATACCCTTTAATCTTATATCATATCATTTGGCAGGCCTAGAATTTTACCGCTATGCATTGAAATCTTATATTTTAAAGAAAGAAATGGTCTAGAATGTTAGAATGTACCATCGAGATATTAGAAACATACCTTTAAAATTTTTTTGATTGTTTGATATTATAAATATCGAACTTTTTTTATTTTTTTTTACAATTGCCTGCAATACAATTTTCTAAAAATAGTGCAGTTTACGATCTTTTTTCACATACACGTTATTTTTTATAATAACGATACCTTTTTCATTATTATTCCCTAGGTATTTTAAGAATGATATTTTCAAACTATTGTACAACTATAGCCATTTTAATAATATTGCTTTACACGCAATTTGCTATCGTATCGCTTCTATCATTATTATCCCTGTGCGACCAGTGGACATGGTTCTGCAAAATATCGATTCTCCGAGGAAATCATTTTAATGTCGACTATTCTGGCCGATGTTGAATTAAGGTCAATAACCAGGATGGATGAAGCTTACAGAATTTCTCTGCGGGATATTCGTAGATCTCCATTTTCCTTGTTTTCTATCGTCACCTCTACTTTCTTAATCTTGTCATTTCCCTTCCTTTAGTTTTCGGGTCATTGAATTAGTGTAATGCTATCACGCTAAATAAAGAATTCTACCGAATTTTTTAGTGTATTATTTGTATTAGACGCAATATGTATAATAAATCGCACGATTTATGTTCCACTGATTTCTATTATATCATATATTATCATTATTTTTACATTATTATATTTTATCATCCAAATTTTTATTCCGACAAACCGATACGTATGTTAATAAGAACCCCTTGAAAGTTATTTAATGTTAGAAAATCTAAGCGAAAAGATGCTTTGCGGTTGAGAGATATATACTGGCACGCGCGTCCCTTCGTATTACTAGATAGACCATGGGTATAAGGATGGAAATTAGGAGCGGTCTAAAGTTTGATAATTAAGAGAGCACTATTCGCTAGAGTGGTTTGTAAGTTACGATGGAGTGCGCGTGGTTTAGCTACCGTTATCTTCTATATACGTGATATCCCGGCGCCGGTGCACCTTAACTTCGACCTTCGATCCGGTCTTCGTGGTCCTCTCCGCGCTCCCCGGGTTGGCGCAGTTAATGCCACTCCTATCCTCTTAAGATATCGCATTATCACTAAGAAGCTTTCCGCGCAGGACGCAAACTCTTCGCAAGTATAAAAGTGGATCGGATTAAAACTTAACGTGGATCTTCGCATAATTGCATTTCTAACAAGCGCGCCCATTGCGACGAGAAGGTAGCGAATGGTGACCATCCTCGATTACACGAGGCACTATTAAACCAAGCCGGGCGGCCGAAGTCTCCGTCGGCCAAATCCTTCTTTGCGGTGAAAGCTCATTACAAAGTGACGAATTTGCTACCCGCGTGCGCACACACGCCTATATATACTCATGCACCCGCCAGTGATACTCATGTAAGTTAAATCGATATATCACAGCAATAAATCCGTTCTTTTAGCTCGTTGTAATTGGATCGTGGAATTAAATCCGATAAACACGATTGACGTGATATATCAACTTACCTCTATGTTATATTTGTTTTTGCAGTTTTATTTCCTACGGAATGTATCGACTTATCAAGCGGTGAATTTTTATACATCTTATCTTATACGAAGCGCGAATTGCTGCGGTGTGTTTAAGCTCTCTTCATGCTTCCATCTATCCATTATCCCCGTTCGGTTTCGCGGCTCCATCGCTCGCAACTTTTGATTGAAGCTCGGCGGTTGTTGAAGTTAGCCAAAACTTATATCTAGTTTATGCACCTGTCTCTTCTCTCTTATAACCTCTGTAAACGCGGCTGCGGCCTTTGCCGCAAGCTGCTATTCCTGCAAGCGCGAGATTACAGTCGCGCTGTAGAATTCGCAACCTGGAGCATCATCGAAGAGAGCGTATCAGGTTTACGCACCGCTGGCATCATAATGCCGGGCGCGATTCAACGTAGTTAGCGCATCTTCTATTAAGATCTGTTGGTAACGAGCTCAACTTTCGACGACCAATTATCGCGCGGAATAGACGTCTCAGCGTGAGCATTCATGACCTTCTATCTGCACTAAACCTCCGAGTTTCGCAAGTGTAAGTTACCGCGTCCTTACGATTTTCCGAAAACATAGCTATCCTTGGATTAATATTTGGCAAATTATTAAAAAACATTCTTCTTAAAAGAAAATAGCTAATAGAAAAACAGAGCATCATGTGAAATGTGTCATTTATTATTTAATAAAAAAAAGGATCAAAAAATCAATTATGCGTGGATAATTAAGAGTAGTTCGATCGCGTATGAAAATACATTGGTGACATTATGTGTCAGAATGTGCTTTCTAATTGGGAAAATATCATAATATAATAATAATATAATTGCGAAAATAACTCCGCATTTAGTTCCAGCTGTGGCGTATTCAGTCTTATGCTTATTTTAGCTCCGCTAATGTGATCGGCAGACATGTAGTTATTGTCTATCTAGACTTTGCCGCTATTTTAGATATTTCACGATTATTTTACGATGTCTACCTACGTATTTGTTAATAAACTATGAAGAGCTTTCAAGTTGCTGTGCTGTATTCTCGGTATTCTACGTAAACTCTAATCAAATTCCGTCTTTGACTTTCAGATAATCCACGGCGTGCACATCGAGCCAGCACACGAAGTAAAGAAACGTAGCATCAGTCAGCCAGTTCGTATTCTGCTATCTTACGACGAGAGCGTCTTTAGGTGAGTTGGTGCATACGTATTTCTACGAGATTCAACGTGTTTGTTCGACGACATGAAATTACGGAGAGTTACAGATCGACTATATCAGGACACAAATCGAATTCACATCGTAGCGCGAACTGCGCTAATTATCTTAAGTAGCAATCTCCTTCGAGCAATCGAAAATAGAGGAACCGCTATAATTTGATTTATGCAAATTTGAGTCCATTAGATTCCGTGTGATGCACAAAATTATATGATTAAATAAAAGAACTTTCTATTATTTATAGACAATTCTGATAATTATTTATAGATAATCTTGATAATATCGATTTTTCAAAATTACGATTTTAGAAAAGACGTCAAAAAATCAATCGAGTTAAAAAAAAACGAAAATATCAGCGAATGAATTACGAATATCTTTTAGAACAGTTTCCTGTTTTTTGGATTAAAGCATGTCACGAGATAATTGCAACTCTGAAAGATTAATTTTTCTGCTGTGAAAAAGTTTTTCGTACAGTTTTCTACTCTCCGTAATTTCTTTTCTTTGTATTAATTAATCTTGGCCATGTGAATAAATACGTTCTTTTTGTCGACGTCACCTTTTCGTCACGCCTCTAACGAGCGTGTGTAACTCGTTACGCATTTTGCAACGCACGATGAAATCTTTTACGGAACTAATTTAGTAAAGTGCCCATAAATATTTTCTCTGCTGCTTAATTTTCAAATGGCAGAAATTAGCCCGTGATACTTTATCGTACGACACTCCCAAGTTATATATATCTGTCGCTTATTCGCGTTGTGAGAAGAACAGTACATCCACCGTCTCTCGCGAAGATGGTTTCTATCTGTAATTGCTGCCGCTGTCGCGGGTGTTATTTCTAATCCATAAAAATTATTTTAACGCTGTTAAAGCGCTTCGTGAACGTTAATATCACGAATATACGATCGCGCTCGCTGCTCTCGAGGAATCTACTCGATGAATGAAGAGAAGTACGGTGCAGCTTGAAAACTCCATCGCGAGTTTCGGCACTGCCAGGTAACGTCTTGAAGATGTACAGTAATGGAACACGAGACAGCGAATGTTCTTGTTATTATTTGTATCGCTCCCTGTAAAGTTCTCTGATATTCTTACCTCAGCTATTTCGCGGGATAGTGCTCGAGAAATTTAGGAACACTGCTGATAATCTCCATTACATTCCTTAGTGTCTTCTCCCTGTTCCTGGTAATGCGTTGAGGTTATAATAGCTGGAAACATGATAAGCAAAGATACGGTTACTGCGCTAAACGACGATTTCATGGTAGTCGAGGTGTAATATCAGTGTGAAATATAATAACGGGTTGGACTATGGTATTGCTATTGACATAATACTTATGTGTTAACGATAGTATTGCTACTTAAATTGTAAAATACTATTATTAAGTTATTTGTTCAGAAGTAAATAATATGAATTGATGAATAAAATATATGAATAAAATAATTACATTAGAACGGTTTAATGGAAGTTCTATATTTTTATCTAAATATATATATTTTATAATTGTCATATTTTTTTTAAAGAAAAGTTGCAACGAGAAACAAGCTTTATTCGAAAGTTGAGAGCTTAGTACTTGACAATCCCAAAACTATTTGTCTCTAGTTTGTTTGCGAAATTATCAATTAATTACGAAGCGAAATTCATAATTAATAAATATATATGTCTATTCTATTTTATATTTTTATTTCTCGGCAATCGTATCGTAAGTCATCCTTTGGCTCAGGATTACCGTCACACACACAAACAGCAAATATCCAGAAACTTATAAGACGATTATTTTTATTGTCGCGCCCGTTTGCTATTGCAAAGAACGCAATCCTGCGTCACTGTCACGTAGTTACCGCCGTCTCGATCTACCGACAATTTCTAAAACAACCGTTTCACGCGCGCGTAGAACGCGAATTCACGTAGCATCGCGCAGTTTCGATCTCACGTACTCTCAAAAACGTTTCCGTTCTCGCGATCGACCAGATAGGTCGGTGTACCGGCAGTGTCATGAAGTGCAACGCGGCGACGTAACCGTTACGAAACGACTATTGCGAACTCCTATCTCGCCGGCGATTCACAGACCATTGATCCGTTCCCCCAAGTTTGATGCAGCGCGTATATATGCGGCGTTTTATCTCCCTCTCTCTCTCTCTCGCTCTCGCTCTCTGTTTTGCTGTCGTGAACGTATAATTATATCCTAAGGTCGACGTATATATTAACAATTCGTGATATTCTGTGCTAGCTCGACCGGAACGCCGTCACATTATGCCGGTTACGGTCGGACAAGACCTCCGCCGCTTCGCTGAGTCTGCCAGGACTTCTTAGCGTGACTTTTTGCGTCCTGCATGTGTACGCGTACTTACATTACGCGGAATGGAAAATGTGATAAATATGCAACGCGCTCGAGCTGGCTTTGTTATATTCCGAAAATTCGGGAGAATATATATTCATTATTGTGCGGCGAACGAATTAATGAAGAGCTTTCTCAGATATAAAATCCAGTGTGCATCCGAGTTTTCTTTGACACAAGAAATGATTTGGGAGTATAATTGCGAAATAAGCATAACTGAGGGATAAAATAATTCAAGGAGATAAGCTAAGATAACTAGGTTGTCGTTGTTCAAAAGCCGGGAGCGGACATCCGAAGTATGTCATTTCACACGGCGATGACGTGGATCGCATTTGAAGTGCCGACCGCGGTGACAGAGCAACTTTTAACTTCTAGAGACCGGAAGTTCAGCAGTTGTTAAATGCCTTCGTGGCACTCGGCGAAAACTTTCGAAGTATCAACCCCACCCGCAAGTTTCTGCGTTGCATTAACCGCGCGTCTTGTTTCTTGGACGTGTATTCATCTGTAAACAAGATCTTAGCTATGCACAAAGAACGCTTTTCAACGTAGTCAGTTTGCGCGTAAATATTGTAATGCAGTTTCAGCAACGTCTAATGTGACTGTTGCAAAAGACACTTAAAGACCTCTGCATTTTAGCAGAGTCGAGTAGTGCGCTATTATTTATTAGTTATTTATGAATCAATAGGTAGCTTTGCTCATTTTCTTTTATCGTCGATTCTATTTTATTACGCTTTTTGAGTTGTGTTTGCGATCTTTTTAACGACGATCTTTACTGGCGACATTAATGGATCTAACTTCGGGATATTACAAAAACGATCGCAGAAACTATCGTTACACGCGTACTTGAATAGCTACGAAAGTGGCTCACACAATTGTGTAACGACATAACGACATGTACTTATAGACATCTCGAGTCTCTACTTTTTACACGATAAGGTCATATGACGTTGTACGGGTGCGCGACACTGTGTCATTATGCAGTACTTCCTGAGTACTATTATATCCTGCTAGAGTCATGACAGAATCGTTTGCGAGGGGCAACATCGACCCGTAATAGCGCGTCTTGTTGATTTCACTTTCTACGTTTGATCCTCATCGAATATTTACGAGTGGCACGTTTTATCACGGTATTACGCCGATATTCACGATCCCGTGAAACATGCAATTTCCAGGCATGTATTCGTTGCACAGTGAAATAACAGCGAAATCTCCTATGTAAATTCGTACTTTTGTTCCGTTTCTACTGGAGAAAAATAATCCTCATCGAATAAGTAATCAAAGAAATATTGCAGCTGACGCGGATGTACGCGAAAAATAAATTCTGTGCGTTCTAATTACACAAATTATACAATTATGAGAAACATTAGTGAAATAAATTGAAAGATAAAATAGTATTATATTAGAATTTAATAAAATGTTGTCTTTACATTTTTCATAAATTATACTTTTTCATATTTTCTCTCACTTTTCTAGGCATGTATTGTTGGCAGTATCACGCAGCGGTTTTTTTTTAACGACAAGCGAATTAAATTGTAGTTTGTAATTTGTACATTGTGCAATTCAGCCGTAGCATTTCAGCTGTCTCATTTTCACTCTTTAATTTTCGAATAAATGTGATGTTATTTTTGCATAACATAAATAGCTACGTGGCACCGCTGTACAAAACCATCGGGCTTGTCGTCGAAGCGAAATTAGTTTTAAAAACTGTTCGTATCGTATTACGAGAACAATGCGCTATCAAACGGAATCTCACAGACTGAAAACTCATTCGTTGTCATAACATTTTTGTTATCTTGCTCCTCGTTGCGCTGCTATTAGCGAATTCATTCGCAGACGGATACAAATTGCGAGCAATGTGAAATAACAACGCGCAGTGCAAACAGTAAATTAATTAATGTATGAGTCGAAAGCTAAAATGTGACGAAATGGATGCGTGTTTAAAAAAAATTTTAAAATGTAGCTTTACCTTTGCGCGTAGTGCAACATCGAATTTAGCAAGCAGTAACCATCGCATTTGACTGGATAATAGATACATTTCGTGCATATATTGAAAAATTTTATTCACCGGAACTGCGCCGTTCAGTCGAACATATTTTTCTCATTGCTAGCGAATGGCCGTTTTATCATGCGGCGATGCATGATCTGTTGTCTTTCTCGATTTCACTCGACAAGCTCGATTATTAATTTCCTGTTTTTCATATTCGGCTGTATTTGTTATTTGCGGATTATTTCAGTGAGCAATATCTGCTGCGATGATTACAATTGGCAATATTTTTTTTTTTATAGAACGCGATGCCATCGTGTTATATTGATAAAGTACTTGCGAATATTGCGCGTCTCTTGCTGCAGGTACAGACTATCCGCAAATAGCTGAAATTCTCGCGATCATATGCGTACATGCGTTTACATTTCCGGATATATTCTGACCGGATGTACGCAAGCCGATTCGGTCAATTTCTGTTACATCTGCTTTGCATAAATAGATGCATCGACAGATAGGAAATGTATGCTTGAGAAGTTAATCCTCTCGTGTATTTGAGCTTTATGTGATGCATTCACATATGTTTCGTGCAAATTACAGACAGAGCTACATATGTACAATGAATATCATTTGCAGCAGCTTTTACTCATTTTTTTTTTTACAT